TTGGGGAGGATCTCCTGTTGTTTTTCTCTCCTGGCCCTGCCCTCATTCAAGTTCAAGTTCCAACGCTGCAATCTGATGGCAGTGGCAGCAACTGGGCAGGCACTGAAAAAACTTTTGTTTGTTTTTTGAAGGTTTTAAGTAATAAATACACCCAATGTGGAGCTCAAACTTACAACCCCGAGATCAAGAGTCGCATGCTCTACCAACTGACCCAGCCAACCACCCCAAAGGCACCTAAAAATCCGAAAGAGGGAAATCCTCTTTGACCAAAGGAACTGTGATACAAAGTGTGTGGCACACCCTCGCTATTGTTTTTACTCTACATATCTTCCCACCACCTATTCTCAGAAGCAGTCCAAGTCCCAGGAAAGGCATGTTAGAGTGGAAACACTAAAGATACACCTTTCAAGCCAGCAGACCAGGAAGAGGATTCCTTAGGAACTGGAGAGTGTAGATAGGAGGAAAATCAAGAAAAGGATTCCATAAAGCTATGTGTAAACTTGGGCTTATACCTGAACTATGCATGTGTGGATCTGGCCTTAAGCAGCATACCAGGGGTTCTGAGAACTGAACTATAGAGAGACCACTGCACAGGTCTCAGACTAGCCCCTGAGTAGTGCACATGCAGCACAGGCTTAAATATCACTACAAAATCTTTGAATACTGAATTGGCCTTAAAACCACAGCTACAGAAGGTAAACTGGAAATTACACCTTCATCCTAACTGTGGTTATTGTCTAATAAAACAAAGAAACCAACATTCTCCATAGGATTTAAAAAGACTCAGGGGCTCATAACATAATATTTAAAATGTCTAAGATATAATCCAAAATTACTTGACATACAAAGAACTAGGAATGTTGACCAATTATCAGGGGGAGAGACAACCAACAAATGCCAACTCTGAGATGACATGAATACTGGAGTTATCAGATGAAAACTTTAAGACCACAATTATAATCATTCTCCAACAAGTAACTGCAAACATTCTTGAAACAAATGGAAGGTAACCAGTCTCAGCAAATAGAAACAATAACAAAGAACCAAAGGGAAATTTTAGAACTAAAAAATGTAACTGAAATTAAATATTTGCTGGATGGCCCAAAGAACAAAATGGAGATGGCAGAGGAACAAGTATGTGACCTTGAGGATAGATCAATAGAAAGTATGCAACCTGAACACATAGAGAAAGAAAGACTGAAAATTAAAAGTAAACTGAGCCTCAAGGACCTGTGGGACAATATGAAAAGGTCTCACATTTGTATCATCAGAGCTCTAGGAGGAGAGAAGAAACTTGTATAAAAGATATCTGAGGAGGCTGGGAAGATGGCAGAGTAGGAGGACCCTAAGCACACACCTCTTCCCACAGATACAACGAGATAACGCTCACATCAGTGTAAATAACCCAGAAAATGATCTGAAGACTAACAGAACAACTCCACAACTAAAGGTAGAGAAGAGGTCACATCAAAGAAGGTGGGAAGGGGAAAGACATGGTTTGGGAAAGAGACGAACTGTGTCTGTATGTGGTGGGAAAGGAGCCAATGTTGCAGAGAAGGCCAAAAAAATAGACTTTCACACCAAGGAGCCCACAAAGGGAAGACGAATCCCCATAACATGTGGTATTGAAAGAAAGAGGGTCTGAGTTTTGTGACTGAGACTTAAAGCCTAGAATTTTAGAAATCAGTAGATTCAGCCCTGGGAGAGCCCAGAAGACATTAGAAGGTAGAGTTCTCACCCTTAAAGAGACTGCATAACAAACAACCCAGGCAGACACAGCCTAGAAGCACCAGTTTGAAAAATGCCAGGGGTGGTGGGGGCAGAGAAGAGGGAGAGTGATTCACTCATCACAAATCATGGCCCAGAGAGGCAGGGATAACAGGGAAACCTCTCCAGGAACAAAGGAGCTGGCAGGTGCCATTTCCCTCCCCTAGCCCCAGCAAAAACATACGGCCACCTGCAGGAACCAGTGCATCACTGACACTCACTACCTAACTGGCTTACACCAAGGTCTCCCCCACTCCACAAACTTTGGTAGACCTACCCTTCCCAGTCATGCTTGCCTCAGTCCCCACACTGCAGGGCCCTTCTCCCAGAAAACGGGCACAAACTGCACCAACACCTCATCTCCTGACCTGCATATTTTGTGGGACCTTAGTTCTAGCAGGAGCAGCTGTGCTGGCAGGTCTCATTTCACAAGCAGACCAGTGCACACCTTATTAAAATGCACCCCACCCCTGCTGGGAGCCAAACACTGCCCACAACAGGCAAAAACAGCCTCTGCAGGCAACTGGACTGAAAAAAAGGGAGGGTGCCAGGACTCAACAGCAGGGTATAAACAACACACATAGGAGGCACTCCCTGAAGCGCCAGGTCCCAGGGAACAGGGGACACTGCAGAGCCACTATAGGACTTTTTCTTCATAAGACCATTACCTTCAAGAGCAGGAGAAGTAGCTGACTTTCCTAACACAGAGAAACAGTCACAGAGAGTTAGACAAAATGAGGAGACAGAGAAAGATGCCCCAAATGAAAGAACAGGACCAAACCATAGCAAGAGACATAAGCAAAATGGATAGAAGTAATATGCCTGATAGAGAATTTAAAGTAATGATCGTAAAGATGCTCACTGGAGAAAATAGTGGAGGACTTCAGTGAGATCCTTAACAAAGAGATAAAAAAAAGAATCAATCAGAGATGAAGAACAAAATAAGTGAAATTTAAAATACATTTGATGGAATAAATAGGAGGCTAGATGAAGCAGAGGAATGATTTAATAACCTGGAAGACAGTAAAGTAACCAAGATGAGCAAATGAGACAACAAAAATTATGCAAATTGAGAATAGTGTTATGAAACTCAGCAACTCCATCAAGCATAATAACTTTCATATTATAGGGATCTCAGAAGGGGGCGCCTGGGTGCTCAGTCAATTAAGCATCTGACTCTTGATTTTGGCTCAAGTCATGATCTCACTGTCATGAGATAGAGCCCCATGTCAGTCTCGGTGCTGGGCATGGAGCCTGCTTAAGATTCTCTTTCTCCCTCTCTCTCTGCCCCTCCCCAACACGTGCTCTCTCAAA